TACGTAAGCGTTTATGGCTCTCCACAGCATGCTTCTATTTCATTATTTTCTGTGAATTGCTATAATTTCTTGGGAATGATAGTGCAGTTGTTTCCTCTTCCCTTCTCTTTGACTTTTGAATTCAGGGATGTTCTCATGGGTGCTTCTGGTGATCTGTTGGCCTTGTCTGAATATATATATATATATATATATATATATATATATACCGGGTGTAACAGCAAAAGTGTCAAAATCGAGTAATAGCAAAATTGTCCAATTGTTAGATTAAGCTCTAAACCGTTGTATCTTAGAAATGATTAAAGATTTCTTACTGGAATTCTATTGGATTCTACTTTGAGCAATAAGAATGTATAATTACTGTACAAGTTTAACCGAAGTATCGTGATGAAATCGATCATAAACGAAAATGATATGATCATTATTAGTTAATCAGAGCTAAGGAACAGAAGCGCATGAAAGAGTGAAATAAATTTCAAATATATATACATATATTATTCCAGGATAATTTTCCAGCTTATTCAAGATGATCCTCGGCCCCTCTAACCTTCTAACATTCTGTCCTGGAGTAACAAGGTGCCTTACAGGTTTCACGTACGATTTCATTTTCAAATCTTTTTTCACTGCTCTTTGAACTGTCATAGCTGAAACTTCTCTCTCACGCGCCAAATGTCTTATGAATTGAGTTGGATCTTTTCTAATTAATCTCTTTAGCTCTAAAATTGGAATGATGACCTCTCTTCCTGTAGTGACCTCCTGATTCAGTTTTCCTTCCTACTGTTCCCTCTTATTAAAACTTATTCACCATTCAATTGGTGGTTCCTGAATGGACTTTCAAGATGGAAGCCAGAGTATGAATGTTCGTACCATTATTGAAAACATGAATGATCTTTTTTCCTTCTCACCATTGCTCATTTGAGAAGAGAGTGGGGCAGGCATGAAACGATTTTAATCTGTTCTCTTTCTAGCTGAATAACTCAAAGGGTATTTCAGTGATTCTTACGAAAAATGGTGTCAAGATGGCTAAACGTCATATCTGAAAATCTGGCAAAAAAGAAACTCAATTAGTTTAGTGGTTTCTTAGATACTAAACATTTTGTGGAATGGACAATTATGCTGTTACACGATTTAGACACTTTTGCTGTTACACCCGGTATATGCAATTTTGTCTGGGGGTTAAAAAGAGATCATCAGCTCACAATAAAATGATCTAAATTACAAACAAATCCTACAAACGACAACGCAAACATCGACAAAAAGCTTTAGTATACACCTCAGAGAAATGATTGCATATTTTAAAGAACATATACGTACACAGAGAAAAAAAAAGTTTGTGCTTATCTGTTGGTAGCAACATGTTCATACAGAGAACTGTTCTGGACATCTGCCTCCTTTTGCCGCCGAAAACGAAGAGAGAGAAAGAATTTGATTTTTGTTTCAATTGGCGGTAAAACGCTTGTTCTGGTGCACCATGGGAGTATTCTGTATTCATTTATCTATTTTTATAATCTCACTTTTTCTTTATTTATTCTTAATTATCATTCTTATCTATATTTTAAAGTATTGTTATTATTTTAATTTTAATTTTTCTTTTATTATTAATTTTGGTTCCATATTTCTACATAGTCTAGCACTAAGGATTCGAGGTTATTTAAGGATTTATTTGCTGCTATCACTACAGTGTTTTTCTCTTAAAGACTGAATTTAAAACCATAAAGAAGGAACTAATTGTCTTGTCATCCTTCTCTTTCTATATCTGTTTCTGCCCAGTCTACTCTGCTATTTAACCCATAACTTGGGATATTAGTTACCTGTTTAATTTTTGCGTTTTGTCCTCTGATGGATTTGGCTTTATCAAGCCCATCGGAGGACGAAACACATCGGCTAAGGTAAGTTTTCCTTTTGTGTTTATTCACACACACACACACACACACACACACATATATATATATATATATAAGCAATGTTCAGACCACTCTTGATAGCCTGAAGATTGTGTTCAAGATTGCGCCACTCGGTGTTGACCTCAGTGTCCACTTTTATATTAACACACTCTGGCGCTGATATTGGGAATTTTTACTCTTAAATATAGCATATCTTAAAACTATTTTTATTACACATCTCTCTCTCTCTTTATATATATATATATATATATATATATATATATATATATATATATATATATATAGTGGACTCTCCTGTCGTATTCGACGTATGAGGGTCAAGCAGCTGAGTTCCTAGGAAGCAATAGACCAGACGCCAACACATATGATTTTATTATAGTGGTGAAGGCTTACCACACTTTTTGAAGAGCCCAAACGACCCTCCGCAGAGTTGTCCTTTTCTTAGACCAGATGCCATCCAAAGCTATAGAACCCAGTCTGTCCATTGCTTGGGGCGGGGGAGAGGAAGAGGGCATTAGCAAGTAATGGATCCGACTGAAATTCGAACTCTCCGATTCCTCAATCCGAGCCGCTATCCATTACTCCACTGTACTTATATAATATCAAATTTGTCACTTAGTTTCGTAGATGGACCCTCCAGCAATCACTCTGTCCACTCGTCAGAGGATAGTAGCAATTCTGTATGTGCATGTATATATATTCACAAGACATTCCACAGTTTCTTTTAATTACCTGCGAATTGCTATGATATCTTGGGGAAGATAGCGAACTGGTTTACTTTTTGCTTTCTCTATGGCTTTGAATTCAGAGTTGTCCTTTTCCTAGACAGTTACCAATGAAGTCTAGCGAGCTCAGTCTACTCTGCTATCTAGCTATCATAGCCGAGGATGTTATTATGTAACTATTTGCATTATAAAGATTAATGGTCAGAGTTGAATCAGACCAGGAAACAGTAGTGTTAAAAGGTGCTCAATACACGTGAGAAAGAAATATGTAAAAATAAAAATAACATGTAGATCTTTTAACTTTAAAAATCAGGAGGTCAATTAAAATACGCGTCCATGTTTTTTTTTCAACTTTCCTTTTCCCCTTTCTTTCCTTTAACACCCAATGTCCTGCCTTTCAATCATCATCATTATTTTGAAAGATAATTATGTAGCGTTAAAGTGGTCATTTTAAAAGTATCGCCCGAAGAGACCGTCAGGTCGAAATCATGGTCGCGTATTTTAATTGACCTCCTGATTTTTAAAGTATATATATATATATATATATATATATATATATATATATATATATATATATATGCGCGTGCGCGTGTATGTGTGTGTGTGTGTGTGTGTGTGTGTGTATTTTTTAATCATTTCACCCCAAGCAAGGCAATAATGTCACTAAGATGCAAGGGGCTACTGAGAGTGAAAGAGAATGACAAGATTTTAGAAGCAATTGGAAACTCAATCTTAAACAGGTAACAAAGGATAAACCTCTAATCCCGAAGTTAGTGGAGTAGTCCATTTATTTATGAAAAACAAAGATCCTAAAAATATATGGGGGATCGGAGTCTGTCTATATTTCTGAGATGAGGTATTATGTACACTATTTACATTATTCGGACTATTGTCCTCATCTTTGTCGCCATATTTATCACAGCGTTTCGGCCGTTGTACGCTCCAGCCTTCTTCAGGTGGTTGGAATTTCGAACTGAACCCTTTATTTCGCTCACCGTGCCATGTTTGATGAATGTCAGTTATCTCATGTTAATTTCCTTCTAAAAGTTCTCCACTGCCTTAACCGCGTATTGAACTCACACTCTTTGGGCCCTGTCACTGGATCTAACTAACGCCTTTATACACTGGGTATGAATTTTTGGGTATTATAAACCTAATGTCATCAGCAAGGTTTATAAATTTCTAGTATGATGCAAACCCGAATTAAAATTATGAATATACAACACATCATACGAAAATTTGAAAAATACAATAAAAAGGTTAAGCAGAAAGACCTTGCCGGTTGAGTTTAACAAAACATACCTTACACACACACACACACACACACACACACACATATATATATATATATATATATAGGCGAATGAAAATTCTTTGTTTAAGATTTTGTATTTAATTTTTCTATGGTTCGAGGGATTTTAAAACTTTCCTGGGAAAATTTGAATATAAATTGTCCATTGTCTTCTGAGTGCTTTCGCCTTTCATTCGCCAATAGAAAGAATTGATGGATTTATTCTGAATCCGACATTTTATTTACTCCAAACGTTATTATAGTGGACACCTCGTATTTGAAATAGACGCCCTATTTTTATTTATTTATAAAACAGAATGTATTATGTATATCGGCCTTCACATTCGCTAAATCTTAGTGAAGAAAATAAAGAAACCACCGTTTGATCTGGCGTGCTTTACCGCTCGGCCACAAAGAACGTCAGAGTTAATCACGGCTCTATTTTCCCTTTTTAAGGAAAGCACATTCTCTTTACGTATTTTAGTTTTCTCCAAAGCCCATATCAGCTCCGTTTTTGAAACTTAAACAAAAAGTAATTTTTAAAGAGTTAATGGATTTATTTTTGATCCACCATTTTTATTTATTTTTGATCCAACATTTTTATTTATTTTTGATCCAACATTTTTATTTATTTTTGATCCAACATTTTTATTCCTTCAAACGTTGTTATAGTGGAAACTTTCCTATTTGAAGCAGACATAACCTAAGCACAGGCAAATAGATAGAGTAAACACTGTTTAATAAATAAATAAAAATGGCGTGCATTCTGCTTCTTTGTTGGTGTTCTTGTGTCCCTACAGGCGCAACGTCATCCATACAAACACAGATCTTTCACTGCAGCTTATGAAAGCCAAATGCACACAGAAAACATTTCACAGTTTATGTTAAAGTTCCACACGGTAACCCTAAAAACCGAATCGTAGAATAAATAAATAAATAAATAAACACTTAAACTAAGAAATTTGATTCGTCCTCATTGTCATTATTTCCCTGGCGTCCGTTTAAACCGACCACCATACATTGTGACCATTTTGCTTGAAGTTCAGTTTCTTGATTTCAGATGAAAATTTGTAAATTTTCCAGTATCTATCTATCTATCTATCTATCTATGTATTTCTGTTCATTTCTATCTATCTATCTATCTATCTATCTATCTATCTATATCTATCTATCTATCTATCTATCTATCTATCTATCTATCTATCTATCTATCTATCTATCTATCGCTGTTCATATCTATCTATCTATCTATCTATCTATCTATCTATCTATCTATCTCAGTATGTACATACCTATATCAGCATGTGCATCTCTCTCTTTATATATATATATATATATATTTCTGAGATGAGGTATTATGTACATTATTTACATTATTCGGACTATTGTCTTCATCTTTGTCGCCATATTTATTACAACGTTTCGGCTGTTGTACGCTTCGGCCTTCTTCAGGTGGTTGGAATGTCGAACTTAACCCTTTATTTCGCTCACAGGACCCAAAGAGTATGAGTTCAATACCCGGTTAAGGCAGTGCAGAACTTTCAGAGTGAAATTAACAGGAGATAACTGATAACTGACATCCATTAAACATGGTTAGATCCAGTGACAGTATCCAAAGACTGTGAGTTCAATACCCGGTTAATGTAGTGGAAAACTTTCAGAGGGAAATTAACAGGAGATAGCTGATAACTGACATCCATTAAAAATGGCACGTGGAACTAGATCAGTCTACCCCAGTGAGCGCAATAAAGGGTTCAGTTCGACATTCCAACCACCTGAAGAAGGCTGGAGCGTACAATGGCCGAAACGTTATAATAAATATGATGACAAAGATGAGGACAATAGTCCGAATAATGTAAATAATATATATATATATATATCAGTATCTACATATCTATATATCCATCTATGTCCCTATCTATCTGTCTATCTATTTATCTATCTATCTATTTCACAGAAACACATATAAATACTCACAGACAACTTAACCCTCTGAAGATGGTCTCAGATGAGATTGAAAGTACTTGGGAAAATATAAAAAAAAAAGAAAACAATTGGAAAGAAAATGTTGGTATTTTTCTTACTCAATTTTCTAAGTCTTCCAAAAAATAATCAGCGAACTTGAAAGGATCACAACGAAAATTAATCGACATATGTCTAAATTATTTAACCAAACCTGTTTGATCTATCTATCTATCTATCTATCTATCTATCTATCTATCTATCTATCTATCTATGCGTACATTTACAGACACACACACACACATATGTATTCATCGGTAGTACTTACAGGTTTTGAAATCGAGTAACCCGCCTATCACCCGAGGAAGAGATTGTCAAATAATCTTCTCATAATAAATTTATAGAATTCATGTTGTTTGTCTCTGAGATTGAACGTGTAGACTAGCAGCCAATGAAAACCGTTTATTTTATTACTTCAAGGATGCTTAAAAGCTTTGTGTTGTCATAAAACTTCCTGTATAAATGTGAGGAATAAAAAGATGGCGTAAAGGTATAACTGTATTTTAGAAAGAAGGTGGAGGAGAGAGAGAGTGGGTGGGTAGAGAAGAGAAATAAACCGACACCCACTTTTCAATTGAAGAAATCCAATTCAATGTTTTATGGAAGACTAGAATAATACCCATAAAAATAATGGGATTATTTAAGTATGGATCAGAGGTTCTGCCCAGGATCAGAGTATCTGTCCACTTGCATCAGAATGGTATCTGTGCATTTTGCCTAGGATCAGTGTAGGATATGTGCAGTTTGTTCAGGATGAGTGTCGTAAATGTGCAGTATGCCCAGGATCGGTCTAGTATATGTGTAATTTGCCTAGGATCAGAATATCTCTGCACTTTGATTAAGAACAAAGTATCTGTGCCCTTTTCCTAGGATCAGTTAAGTATCTGTGCAGTATGTTCTGGATCAGAGTAGATGTGCACTCCATCTAAGGTCAGAGTATCTGTGCATTTTACCTAGGATCAGTACAGTATATGTTCACTTTGGCGAGGAATAGTCTAGTATCTTTGTACTCCGCCTAATGTAAGTGTAGTACATGTGCACTTTATATAGGATCAGAGTAGTCTCTGGAGTGTGTCCAGGATCAATGTATCTGAGCTTTCTGCCTACAAACAAAATGTCGCGCCCTCAGCACATATACCTAAGATCAGTTCAGTATCTGTGTACTGCCTAGAATTAAAGTGCGGTTCTCAGAGTACATCAGGCAAGGATCGGTGTAGTATATGTGCACTTTGCCTAGAATCAGAGGATCTACGCACTTTACTTGTGATCAGAATAACTGTACACTGTGCCTAAGATGAAAAAAAAATGCATCTCGGCACACTTACTTAAGATCAGTTCAGTATCTGTGCGCTTTGTCCAAGATCAGTGTAGTATCTTTTTATTATCCCTGAGACCAGATTATCTGTGCACTTTGTTTACAGACAGGATACATATGCACTCTGCCTAGGATTAAATGTCGCTCCTTCGGATCAAGACTATGTATAGAGTTGTGTGTAATGTTTATTCATGGTTTAATTCCAAAGCTTTTGTGTAGTCGATGAGATATAACGGTTTCCAAAGATCATCTGCATCTGAAGAAGGTGGTGCCTTGTATCGTGTGGGATTGAAAGGGCATTGTGCATTACGAACTCCTTCCACAAAATCTAAAGTTGAATTTATACAAGTACTGTCCCCAATTGGATCAGTTAAAGACAGTAATCAATGAAAATTATCCAGAATTGATCAATCAGAAAGCCTCACTTCTCTTTTCAGACCTGGTAGAAATTGGTGCAGCTTGGTTGAGATGCCTAACTTTGTTCCTTCAGATTACCACTTACTTCAATCCCTACAAAATTTTCTTAATAGGAAGAAATTCAATTCTCTGAAATCTTGTAAAAACCACTTAGACCAGTTTATCACTCAGAAAGATGTCAAGTTCTAAGAGGATGAAATCATGAAGCTGCCTCAATGATGGTGAAATGTACTGGAACAAAATGAATTATACATGGTTGAATAAATCTATATACAAATATCTGAATATTGTCTGAAATTTACCTAAAATTGCTACAAACTTTTTATTGCATTACTTATCATCGGCCCTGTACATGACAAGTGAAAAAGTAAAAATGAACTGAAATGCAAGACAAATATTTGCCAAGTATGGAAATATGGTTTCAAACAAAGATACATTAAGTATATATTTCTTTCAGTAAGCTTATGTATTGAGTATTAGACTGGGATAATTAAACTTAAGTGTATTATTTACTGAAGATTTCTATTGTATTGGAACAAAAATTTGTATTATTTTTCAATGGGAGGTATCTGGATGCATGATTTTGTTTCACACGTGAGTGAAATTTATAACATATATACATATTCTGAAAGGTGATATTTCAATGTATCTTTCTATAGGACTCATGTGTGGAGTGTGGATTTTAAATGTTTTTATGTTAAAAGTGGAAATGGGGAAAGATGAGATACAATATCAGCATTTGATGCTCTTTTATTTCTGGAAGTAGCAAAAAGATAGGTACCATTTATGAAGACGGTACCATAGCTGAAAGTACTGTTTGTAAGTAGTTTATTAGGTTCAGAAGTGGAAATTTTGAACAGGAAGACAGAGAATGTTTTAACAGGCTAGCGGGTATAGATGATGACCCAATCGAAATACTAATTAAAAGTAATCCAGGTTACATGGCATTGGACATCGTACAGGTACTCTGCATATCTGATATGATTGTTGTAAGTCATCTGAAAAGATTTGGAGAGACGAATTTGGGTGACTCACGATTTTAGAAGAAATAATCTACTGCAATTCCAACTGCCTTTTTCTGTTTAGATGCAACAAAAACAACCAATTTTTGAAAACAATCACAGGCATTGATTAGAAGGACATTATGTATTATGAGCCACTTCCACAAAAATAAGACGTTGAATTCACACAAGTCTCTTTACAGCAATAGGGAGCAAATTACTTCTGGGGAAAACGAAAGCAACTGCTTTTAGGCATTCCAAAAGCCAGCTTGCATCAGAAAAAAAACTGGGGCTGTGTATCTGGTGGCATTGGAAGGGAATTGCGTATTATGAGCTCTCCTCATAAAATCAGACAAGTACTTTTCCCATTTGGATCGATTAAAGTCAGCAGTGAAAGTTGTGGACATCAACACAGAGTCCTGGGTGAGCCTGGCGGCCAGTACGATCCAAACATCTTAAGTCAGGGGAGAAGAAGCTGACACAAGACGCCACGGAAACGCGGACCCGCAGAAAGCAAGATAACAGCTCCAACAGACCAGAGACAGAAAGCACATGCGATCTCTGCAACAGAGTTTGTCACTCCCGCATCGGCCTGTACAGTCACAGAGGTCGATGCTCCGGCCAAGCAGACAACTAGGATGCTACTCATGGTCAACCCTGACTGACGGAGGCCTACACAAAAGGCAGCAATCGATGGACAATTGGAAAGGCGTCGTCTTTCATCAGGACAATGCAAGACCTCGCACCTGTTTTCAGCCCCGACAGAAATTGATTCAACTTGGCTGGAGATGTCCAACACCACCCGCCGTACTCACCTAATCTTGCACCTTCGGATTTCCGCTTCTTTTTGTCCCTACGAAATCCTCTTAATGGGGAAAAACTTCAATTCTCTGGAAACCTGTAAAAAAACACTTAGACCTTTCTTCCTTACATGCAAAAGTGCCAAGTTCTGGGAGGATGGATTAATGAAGTTGCGTCAAAGATAGTGAAAGATAATGAAACAAAATGACATTATGTGGTTGAATCGAAGACCGACTCAGAGTTTCGTAATTTTTCAAACACTCATCGGGACTCTCGATAAGAAAAATTACAAAACCCGATAACTACTGAACGTTAGTATATGTAATATAAATATAAATAAAATAGATTTTCTGTCATCAATGTGTGCGACTACGGTCAATTCACGCCGAAGTTAAGCAGCGTCAAGCCTGGTCAGCGCTTAGATGGGGTAACTCTTGTGAACCCAGGGTACTGTAAGCAACCCCCCACAATCCGAAATATATTCTGGCTTTAAATAAACCACAAAGAGTTGATTAAGCCATAAGAAAAACAATCAATCAAAAACTGCCCCAATGTGTAACTGAACTTACAAAAATTTAATAGCCAACCTTAAATAAGTATTAATCGTATTCAGGAGAGAAAAATTGTCTACATATAGTGAACTAACTGTCTTAACAGCAGACCTAGCCTTGGATTCAATATAGTCTTTCTACTTCATGTCAGCCGAGAATGTTAGCACGAGGAGGCGCAACGAGTCACTCTCATGGTGGTTAGCATCAGCCATGGTGATAGAAGGCAGAAAGGAATCTCTCAGATGATTAATAAAGAGCAGTTTTGTTTTCGACGCACAAACATTAGCAAGCCATCCTTTGCCCCAGTTAACAACTGACTGTAGGTGATTTTTTTAGATCAGCCGAAATTTGGTCTTATCGATCTGATCAGACTGAGTTTTGAGACAGGAGTAAATGTTTGTGTCACCAGCATAGATACCAAGTTGACAACTGAGGAAAATTAAAAACAAAGCAGGGCCAAGGATATAGACCTGCGGGACATTTACATTAATACGAAAGGATCGGGAGGAGTGGTCGTTCAGGACAACTTTCATTTAGTGATTTGATAAGAAAGACTGTATCAGTTCAAAAATTCGTCCGGCGACACCATAGCTTTTCACCCTGTGAAGAAGACTGTCATGTCAAACACTGTCGAACGCTTTCGAGATGTCCAAAGCAACAACCCGAGCTTCAACATACTTATCTAAAGCTTGATAGATTCTCTCGGCAACACGTCAGCAGTTGACCTAGAGAAGCGAAAGCCATATTGCTTGTCTGAAAGAAGACTCTGTGAGGTGAGATGTTTAACCAATCCAGCATTGATTAGGTCCACTGGTAGTTCACCAAAATGAGGTAGAAGGATAATAGGCCGATATTTAGAAGGGTCAGACGGTTCACCTGAGTGACCGGAACAATTGATGTGGATTTCCAATAAGCGGGAAAGCAAGAGGCAGCGAGGCATTTATGATACAGTTTAGAGAGAACAGGAGCCAGTTTGAGAGCACATTTCTTCAGGACTATTACAGAGATGTCATCAGGTCCACATGCTTTGTGGGGATCCAGATGAGAGATGATAACAGAAACTATGAAAGGGGTCATATGCATATCGCTCAACAGACTCAGTTATACGTGGAAAGTCAGGCAAGGATTTGGTGTTAGATTTTGACAGGTTAGTAATATCCGTCATGCCACACACATTGTAGCTAACCACCCTCATTCCTTGCATATTTCATTGGTGAGATGTAAGTTCCACCCGAGCAACGTCTTCCCACGAACCGCTGCTTTGTGGAACCGACTCCCCAGAGGTTGCTTCCCCGGTCACTAGAATTTTAACCTGTTCAAGTTTAGGGTTAACAATTATCTTATCACCATATCTGCATAAACTGTCTCTTACTCTGTAACCATCTACCTTGAGTGACTCTTGGGCTTTGTACAGAGTGAAAATCATTGTAAAAGAAACCCCCAAAAAACTTGACTGCCAACCACGCCACGAGATAATTCACTTTTATTATGACGCTTTATTCACCTGAATCGACAATCATCGGGTGAAGGCCTCAAAGCACAACGGTCGAAACGCATTGTCTGCCATTTTATGATACATTATTATCTGTGAATACAATTTTAAGAAGCTATAAGTTGAAGCGATAATTCAACTCATAGCAATTTTTATTGCCTAATTTGGCCGCTATAAAATTAGTGTTTCAAAGATTTCGTAACTGATCTCTGGAAGTTGACGTTAATATATTGAAAAAAACAAAACAAAAAAAAAACCCAAATAGGAAGACCCTTCATAATGAATAACATAATATACTTATTCTGTTCAGATAGATATAGATCAATATATCTTTTGTTTGTTTCTATAGTGAGTTTGTAATCGAAAGAGTGAATCTGTAATCTATAATACGTGTACATAGGCAGAAATATTCATTCAAATGTTTCACTGAATTTGACTGACAAGGTTTCTTTGTTCTTTTTAATTTATTAAATGAATTTTTCAAGTCGGACTATGAATAACCGTACTTCTTTTATGTGCCGTTTACCTTCAAGATTGTGATCGATCACGGTCCACCACAACTTCCTATCCTTTTTAACTCCTAGCAATGTTTGTCTTTTTTTTTACTATCTCTCCCACTTACTTCTGTACCATCCATTTACACTAGCTCGTTACTCGCTGCTTCCATCAACTGTTTCTACATTATGCATCGCAGAAATTTCAACAGTCTCTTATTTTAAGTACAAGTGTTGCGTTTTTTTTCTCTTTTACTAAAATATTCCTTGTTGCTAATATGTTGGTAGTCTTAGCATCATTCTATAGCAGCACATCACTGCTATTTCAAGTTTCATCTTCATCTGTGATGAAATTGTTCAGCATTTACTGAAATCATCACGTTCATGATCTCTGCAGTCTCTGTTCTACAGAAAGATGCTGAGAATTCCACGGATGGAGCAAGTAGGCTACGAGGAAGTCTTAAAGAAAAAAGGCAACAAAAAAAAAACCACTTATGTTCAGAATCAGGAAGAGATAGCTGAAATTCATTGGATGCATAGGGGGGGTGTTCTTAGAAAACTTCACCCTCACAGGGCGTATTTAGAGCAAAGAGATATGGGAAGAAAGCGAGCCACCTACCTGGCGAGCTTGTGTGAATGAATATCGGATCGGTAGGCGGGGAACCTTAACAAAAGGTGCAAAGTGCCACAAAGAATAGGAAGATTTGGAGAGCCATGATCGCTCATGCCCTGAAGGGACGCTGTACATAAAAAAAAAAAGGATAATGGTAACTCATATGTTGACTTGAAAAATTCATTAAACATATTCTATTGAATTTGATTGATAAAGTTTGTTTTTTCAAAAGGAAACGTTACCAAATGTAATCGATCATTTCTGTCTGAATTTCTGGGATGAGGAGTTATCATTATTTACATTCAGACTATTATCCTCATCTTTCTTGTTATTATCACGTGATTGCATTATGTCTGAATTTCTGGGATGAGTAATAATCATTATTTACATTCGGACTATTGCCCTCATCTTTTTTGCCTTCTGTCTGAATTTCCAGGATTAGGAGTTATCATTATTTACATTCTGACCAATATCCCCATCTTTGTTGTTAATGGCAGCTATTAGCTTTGGTCTTCTTTCTGTCCAAATTTCTGAGATGATATGGTGTTAGTATTACACATAGATTAATTTGGACCATTTCCACGTCTTTGCTGTCTTTATAAAGTTTTTTTTTGGTTATTGTACTCTCAGGCCTTCTCCAAGTGTTTGTGCTATTCACTAACTTTCTTGGATATAACAAACAACTCTTTACTTGTTTTATGGAAGCGAAAAATATTGGCATCAATCAGTTACTTATCTCACCTGGCATTTTTCCGAAGGACTTTCAAAACACCTGTCACGTCTTTCTATTGATACTACTCTACCTTCACTGGTTGAACTGAAAGGGAGTGCAGCAGCTTGAAGATAACAAAGAGGAAAAAAAGTTACCTTAAAGGATTTGCGTGTAATAGAATGGACACGTTTCTGTCTGAATCATTCTTATTTACATTTGGAATAATGTCCTCATCTTTGTTGTTATTATCACAACGTCTCGGTTATTGTACTCTCTGGGCTTAATCAGATGTTTGTTGATCCGGGTAAGCTTCTTGGAATTGAATTCTTTATTTACCCGAATCTTCATCGGGCGAAGGCCTGAGGACACAACGGTTGATACTTTGTGATAATAAAAACAAAAATTAAGACAACAGAGAGGACTAAGTCAGAGCTATTGAAGGAGCTGATGAAGGCCACTACAATTATTGGCCGTCCGTCAGTATATCTATAAGAAAACCGAGTTTGAAGACCTCTTTCCTGGTTGTATGTGGTTGAGGAGTATGAGTAGGATTGTCATTCGCCTTGGTACAGAGTCATTGATCTTTTATTTCACTTATCCAAGTATCTAGTTTCAGAAACGAGGTTGCCTGGTTGACCCGTCCTTAAAAATACTAGTGCCAATTTAATGGTGTGTTAAAGAGATGATAAATAGGTAATACTTTTCAGGGGATTTAAGAAATATCTTTTTTATTTTATTTAATAAACTTAGCCGACTACTACTACTACTACTACTATAGACTTATACTGCAAGTTTAAAAATGATTATAACTTCTGTTATTGATTTAGATCAGGCCTGCCCAAAATAGGACCCGCTGGTTTGTATGCACTCCCTGAGACTACCTAGTGTGGCCCGCGAGGGTTTTTCAAAATAACGTAAATTGCGGTCTACAAGTCGACCTGGCGTACAAGTCGACCTCAAAATTTTTAGCTCAAAATACAAAGTTAGACCTATAGCTACCGTACAGGGCAATCCCCAAACATACAGGTAGGCTTTCCTACCGCCCGGTCAACACTCCTTCTCTTGGACATGAGTAGAGGCTTACGCTTTGTTTCTTGTTTAGGAAGGGGTTTCCGGTACTCTCTCTCTCTCTCTCACACTGGCCTCTGTATCTCCAGTTGCCTTGATCTATCCACTACTCTTCTCCTCATCCTTTCTTCTATCACTCCTATCTGATCTTTCTCCAAATTTTCTGTAACCCCTTGCGTCCGAGTGGCTTTCCGCCTTGCTTGGGGTGAAACACTTAAAAAAAAAATACGGTAGGCTACCAGTGACCCAAAACTTAGACCTACCGGTAAATGAATTTAGGATACAGTATACGGTAACCTGTGCAAAAACTACATAAGGTAACTCCACTTAACTGTACATTAAGACACTAACTGTAATATCCTTCTATATGCATTGTACAGCAAACAACCTACAACACACAGCAGTAGATACTTCGGTCTGTACTTACACTTAGTTTATCAGCAGTTGGTCGCGATGGGTGCTGTAGCGTTAATAGACGACTGAATTTGTGTTAATATTTTATTATTTTATATTAATTTCTATGTTAATATACCCTTATGTATGATCACCATACATAAGTTTTAGTGGGATATACTTGCGGCAACTTAGGGTACCTCAGCGTGGTGTAATGGTTAATAAGCTTGTCTCGCTAAAAGCAGTTACGACTGAATAGTGAGTTTGATCCTCACTAGGTGCCCCATACTTTCGGCGTTGTGCCACATCTAAGCTATGCTTAGAAAATCATTTGGGCACTTCGAAGTGGTGTAATGGTTAGCGAGCTTGCCTCGCGAGATCAGTTACGACTGAATAGTGAGTTCGCTCCTCACTGAATACCCCGTACTTTCGGCCTTGTGCTACATCTAACCTACGCTTGGAAAATCACTACATTTCCGGCAACCTGCTGGAGGTAGTGTAAGTGGTGTACAATAATTGTTAGGAGTGCTGTCCCGCTTGTTTACAATTCGGTGTTAAACGTTAGCATTTTATACCCGCCATATAAGTCTACCCTTAGTTTTGGATAGATTTCTTTTGGCTGGAAAACTCGCTGTAGTCTATTTTTTAATAAATTCGGCGACTGGTCGCGTAGGAAAAAATAGTTCTGTGGAAGCCGGACTTTATTCAACCAATATTTCACTGTCTTTGCAACTGATTAATCCTTTTGACTCGCCGTAGAAAAAGAAAAACAGAAAGAAATTTCTCGTCTGTTTCTCTCGCTCTCTCCCATATATCGGCGTCTATCTCCCCTTCTCCATATATTTGTTCTGATCTCCCTCTCTCTATATGTCTGTTTCTATCGCTCTCTCCCCATCTATCTGCGTCTATCGCCCCTTCTCCATATATTTGTTCTTATCTCCCTCTCTCTATATATCTGTTTCTATCTCCCTCTTTATATATCTGTTTGTATTTCTCTCTCACTCTCCCTATATATGTGATTCTATCTCCTTCTTTCTAAATATTTTTTTATCTCCCTCTCTATATATATCTGTTTCTATCCCGCTCACTTTACATACCTATTTCTATCTACGTCTCCTTATATATTTCTTTCTTTCTCATTATCTTTATCTATTATCTGTTTCAAACTCACTCTCTCTCCGTATATTTTTGTTCCCCTCTCTCTCTATATATCTGTTACTATTTCCCTTTCTATATATGTATCTGTTACTATCTCCCTCTCTCTATATATCTCTTCCTATCTCTTTCTCTATATATATCTGTTTCTATCAACTTCTCTACATACGTTTCTATCTCTTTCTCTCGTTTTCTCTCTCTCTCTCTATATATATATATATATATCTGTTACTATTCCCCTCTCTCTCTCTAATATATATATATATATATGCTTCTTTCTCATTCTCCCTATATATCTATTTAAATCTCCTTCTCTCTATATATCTGTTTCTATTTCCCTCTCTCTGTATATCTGTTCCTATCTCTTTCTCTCTATCTGTTTCTATCACCTTCTCTATATGTTTCTATCTCTTGCTCTCGTTTTCTATCTCTCCTCTCTCTATATATATATATATCTGTTACAATTCCCCTCTCTCTCTCTCTCTCTCTCTCTCTCTATATATATATATATATATATATATATATATATATATATATATATATATATGCTTCTTTCTCCCTCTCCCTATATATCTATTTAAATCTTCTTCTCTATATATATCTGTTTCTATCTGCCTCTATCCAGATATCTCTCTTTATCTTCCTCTCTTTGTATATCTGTGGGGTCACTCACATCTTACCAGCATAGATAATATCGTGTCACGAAGGAATAAGAAAAACCAACAAAGAAATAACAAGTGAAAACTTGAAGTTTTAAAATGAAGATATAAAATTTTTATTGATTTATTTTTTAATGTACTGGTGTGTGTGTTTAATTAAAGGTGGGTTAAGGTTTATATGTGGTAAAAAGGAAGTAAATCATTTTATTGTATGGCACAGCAAACTACCAGACAAGAAATAAAACAGACGTCTTGTTTCTTTTAAGTTTGGTCGAGTAAGAGAGAATGACTTTGGCGTTTTTAGGTGCAAAGAGAGCTACGGTGAAGTAATGTATAGTGGCTTGGATTGAGGAATCGGAGAGCCGTGTTCGAATTCGGATCCATTACATTCACTTACATACTAATACCCTTGTGAAAGGTATGAATCCTCCTCCTCTTCTCCTCCAATGGGGTAAATAGCAAGACAGACTGTGTTCTATAACCTCGGGTGGTAACCGATCTAGGAGAAGGAAAACTCTGAATTCAAAACCGGCCTTCAGGCTATCTTGCCCAAGAAACACCACTTTTACTGTGGCTGCAGTACACATGGTACCCCTACGACACTATGGCTCATGGAATAAAAAAAATCTGTTTCTTAGGCGGGAAAGGTTTTTGTTGCATGCTGGGGAAATTGATTATTTTATTTTATCTGTTTTATTTATTTATGATATCTATTATTATTATTAATCTATTAATCTTACTTTTTTTTTGAGAGAGATGTGGACCTTTCTTCCGGAACGTGTAGTTTAGTTTAAATTTCTCAGTTGAGACTGTGAGGTGGTTTCCTGAGCATGTTTCTATTTCAAAATATTTTTCATATCTAATGATTACTTTAAAGGGTCCAGATTAAGGAACTTCCCTGACACTGTCTTCTCAACCAGAAGTGGGTTGAAGTGAACAAGTTTTTGGGCTATGAAGGATTGCTTAGCTGAGTGTAACCGTCCTTCTGAAAGGAGTGATAGGCCCAGCCTTGTCATCACTTCAGAGAATTGTTTACAGATCGCGACGTTTATAGATAGATATCAAAGAGATGAAATCTATGTTTTTATTATTGCATTATTCCAAAATTTTAACATATCAGCAGATAGCTTTATATGTCATCAACTGAGCACAAATATTTATTAATATAAAAAATTAGTAATTAATGTATAAGATTATCCATAACTACATGTACAAGAATGGAAGAATATATTGTGCGTGAGTGGATTGCAGCGCCCACTTGTGTGTTTATTGACCAATTAGAAGCTGATATTTCCTGAAAAATATTTACCAAGCTGAGAAGGCTCTTGGGATCCGATTCTCCCAAAAGTGCGGAAAATCTACTATGCGAAAATACAGCGATTTCAAAATTGTCGCATAAGATAGCAGCGTTGATTGCTACACAATGAATGACTGTTATTGAAATTAGAATTAGTGTAGGTATGTATGTATGTGTGCGATGAATATCATCATCCCATGGGGAATAGATTAGTCTATCAGCATGTCGGTGTTTCCAAATAGTTTGAGAATAGTTTGGCTTTAAATCACGCCGGTGTTTTCAGATACTTTGGTGAATAGGATGTTTTTTAATCAGATCGCTATTTTCAAATAGTGTGGCGAATACGATTGTTTTTAATCAGATCGCTATTTTCAAATAGTGTGGCGAATACGATTGTTTTTAATCAGATCGCTATTTTCAAATAGTGTGGCGAATACGACTGTTTTTAACCAGATCGCTATTTTCAAATAGTGTGGCGAATACGATTGTTTTTAATTAGGTCGCTATTTTCAAATAGTGTGGCGAATACGATTGTTTTTAATCAGATCGCTATTTTCAAATAGTGTGGCGAATACGATTGTTTTTAATTAGGTCGCTGTTTTAAAATAGTGTGGCAAAGAGGATGGTTTTTAATCAGGGCGCTATTTTTTGGAATAGTGTGATGAATAGCATGGTTTTTAATCAGGTCGTTGTTTTCAAATAGTGTGGTGAATAGGATGCTTTTAATCAGATCGCTGATTTCAAATAGTGTGAGGAATACGATGGTTTTTAATCAGGTGGCTATTTTCAAATAGAGTGGCGAATAGGATGATTTTTAATCAGGTCGCTGTTTTCAAATAATGTGGTGAAATGGATGATCGATTAGGGTGTGTTTATACATGTCTACAGCGAGCTTGTAGTGGTCTAAGAAGTCATCTCCGAGGATAGGAAATTTCACCTGTGCTATATTGAACTACCACGGAAATGATCGTCTTAATCCGATGTTGAGTGTAAGAGAGATTTGACCATACGTCTCAATCTTGGTACTGTTTGCTGCACGCAGGGCATACGTTGATTCGCCTGTTGTGGTGTTAGCGCTGGGTGGGATTACATTGACCTGGGCTCTAGTGTCCACCAAGAATGACTCGCCTGAGTTAACACTTTTAACAAAAAAAAAAAGACGGTTAACTCGATTTCCCCTAACAGTAGACGCCGTATTCATGCGCTACTGGGATCGTCTTTTCCCGCTTGTTTTTAGTAGTAGGTGTTGGCTGACCGTTGAAATGGCAAGGTTTTGCACAATGTCTCGCTGATTGTCCAAACTTTTGGTGGTACCAGCAAATTCAAGTGTTTGGATTACTGCTAGTGTTCGAGTTCTGCTATGGTATCGAAAATTTTATGCATTGTATGCTGGACACGAACGCATTCTACTCAGTCGCTCCAGTTGCGTGGACAATTTGTTGATCTGCTGCTGCATTTTCTTTAGTGTATCGTCACGTGGTGTGCTGTCCGCCGAGGAAATATGGGTGCCGTTGAGGGTCCTTGCCTGTACGATTCTATCGGCTATTGCAGCCACTTGTAGTAGGTCCAAGTCCTCAGGGAGTGTTGTCAAAATCTGCGCGGTGTGGATCGGCAGCTTGTCCAGCCAGAGTTTTCGTGGCAAAACCTCTGACATGATGTTACCCAGAAGGTTTTTCATCTTCCGAAGAAGTTGTGTTGGTTTGTTCTGGTCGAGTTGAAGCGTGTTGAACAGGTCGTTGATTCGTCGTTTCTCTGACTTTCCGGTCCTGTATATAATAGATTTTTTTTCAGGACGTCAAATGGGTTCTCTGATGAAACGTTATAGAACAAATCGGAAACTTCCGATGCGATGTCGGGAGGTGGTTTCTCGACTACATAAGCGAAACGAGCGTTCTGTGACTGAATTCTCTCGGCCTGAAATATTGCGCTCAGTTGCGAGAACCAAACGTGAACGTTCATCGTGTTGAAGACGGGAAGATTGACCAGGACCGCAGCTCCGTCCCTGTCTGGGACTGCCATGTTGAGTCGCGTGAATATTCGCACGTGGTGACGAAAAAATCTTTTGCGCGCCAAGTAGATATGCTGATTTCCGAGATGTTTCTCACGATTGGTGCGATTTATAAATTGTCCACTACACAGTAGTGTTGATTTATTATCCAATGAGTGTTTGTCGTTGTATAATTTGAATTTGCGTAAGTATGTATATATGTGTGTGATGATGTTCATTACAGACATAACAAGTAAGGTTTTGTTTAAATTTTAAAATGAGAATATGAAATTTTATTGATTTTTTCTTTTATTGTACTGGTGTGTTTAGTTAAAGGTGTGATAAGGTTTGTATGTGATTAAAAGAAAGATCATTTTGTTAAATGATACAGTAAAGTAGGACAAAAGGAAATGAAGTCATGTGAAAGGTTTTGTTTCAGTTCCTCGCGACCAGCATTGAAGTTCTCGCCAGTGTAAAATTAATCGCCAATTATATTATCCACCTTTCACCAAATACGGGGCATTTTTCTCTCAACAATCCAAGAAAGCTAAGTATTTCAAACTGTCACTCTTCGTCTACTTTTGAATGTATGCAACCGTAAATCACGTCTGTGAACTCTCTTACGTTTATTTTCAACATTTTTTTGAATATTATTTTGTGCCAGATCATTTAATCTGTTGTAGGAACATTTCCTCTTCATGACAGATCGTTAAAATTACGGACTTTAAAAATTTCTGATTTATTTTCTCCAAACGAACTGCTAACACAACTTCAAGCGTGAAAATTTGTGAATAAATTCCTTGTTTTGTTAAAAATAACCCGTGTGTTTCCTCGTCATTATCTTCATTAATCTTCTTGGCATGGGTAAATCAACTGTTCATTTTAAACTCTATGTCACTTAACATTTTTTTTTTCAATTTTTCAGGCCCGATTTAGATATGAAAACATTTCAGTCTCAGTAATTTGGACACATTTTATTTTGTTTCAGAGCATGACTGGCAAGATGTTGATCAGAAGTATGTATTATATGTAAGCTTTTGTCTTTCATCCAGCACGCGCATGAATGCAGTTTTTATCTGTACATAAGAAACGGAGAAGTGTCTGATCTGAAAGAATATACATGCTTCAAGTTCATGGAAAGTCCAACCAAGCATAAGAAATTTGAAGAGGAACTCCAACCGAATGAATTCAAAGCTGTCGAAAATTTTGCCAAGAAGATTCTGGTCCATTACGATCAAAAATTGCTGCGGCTATTGACGGCCTCAAAACAGGTAACTCTAATCATTCAGACTAATATCCTCATCTCTGTTGTTTTTACCACAACATTTCAAATTCCTCTTCAGCCTTTCCTGTTCTGTGAAATTTCGAGAAAAGTCGTTGTCATTATTTTACCAGTCACTTGGACTAATATCCTTATCATTGTCGCTTTTACCGCAGTATTTCAAACGCTGAGGTCCACAGCCATCTTTATTTAAAAAAAATCGAGACACGTATCATTGTCATGTTTCAAGTTGTTATATAGCAATAAAGTGTCGTTGCCGACACTTGAGTTTGAACATAGATCGCCAGTGAGCAAACACAGGCGATGCCATTATTGAATTAAGTAGACCACGTGACCATAGAGGAAACGCATATATGGGAAGTAGTAGCGTGACATCTAAACGATCGCATTTCTATTCTATCCTCTATTAATATTCGGATCACTATTTCTAGTCTATCCTCTATTGCTATACGGACCGCTATTCTCTACTTTATTCATTATACTATTTCTCTATTCAGATCACTATACGGGTTACTTTCCAAGCGAGTATTATCGAGCAAGTACTATTAGTGCGAGTGATATTCGAAGGCGTCTGACACCAGTATTGTTCAACGGCGTTACTATATTGGTATCTGCGATTATAAAGTCTCTACTACAACGAGCATTACGAAAGTGACAACGAGTGTTCGTTGACATCACAAAACATGTGAATTGGTATCATCACCACAACGTACTCGGTTCTACAGCTGAAATGTTAAAAAAACAACAAAGATGATGATATTAGTCCGAATAAGAACTGATTTCTAATAAGTTTTCACTTCAATTTCAACTTACAAAAGAGTATATGATCAGTGTCATCTCAGGATGAGGTTCAAACGCATCTCCCTTTTGCTTTAAGGAAGCCTGATTGAGCGTACCAATTGCTTTAACCACAAATCTACGTGAGATTTGTAGAAAAAGGGAAAAGAGACATGATTTCGAATCTCACCAAGAGCTTCTCCTTTGTATGAGTTTCGCCGTCTGCTCCCGTAGACTGGGTGATTTTACGATAAAAAAAGAAACACGCGAAATACTTCTTTCTCCTTACACTCCTCTTGCTACATCACAACGCGCAGCTTGCAACTCTAAAGGGCGGTATCAGAACTACCTTGATGAACGAGCAGCCTAGAACTATCCTCATTTCTAACTTTACATATAAGCCTGCTTAGTTTCTCATAGAGTCTATGACATATATTCCTCATGACAACGGAAGAATAAGTTTTTAGTCGGAGTAGATTATAGGGCTTTATGCATATATGTAACCACCTGTAACAAAGCAGACAAAAAGGAAAGATGATAATATGGATATCACATTGTAGTACCAAGAGAAAATAATGGCAGAATCAAGATATTAACATTTCATCTGACTTCAAAGGACGAAAACCTCTATCAACACTGGAAAGAGAGATAACAGTTACTGGATTTGAGGAACCTATTTTTCTGGAAAAAAAAAACTTTTAAAAGAAGCAATACTGATTACTCGGTCAATGGATGCCGAATGTTTCCTTGTAAAGAAATGTTTAATATTGCCATTGCCAGTTCCCTGAATATATGCTGGGGATTTTCTAAACGTAGCTTAAATGTGGCACAAGGCCGGATGTATGTGTTGGTTCCAATCCTGGTGGGAGTAACTTCAAAACACGTCTGCAATTTATAGGCAAGACTAAACAAATGCATGCTGGGATTTCTTTCTAGGCAATAAGGTAGGCCAGTTCTCGGTTTCATCTGACCCAATCCCGGTCTGTCTTGCCTTGATGTCAGAACGCTACGTTAGTTTATCTGAATCCGCTCTTGTGTGTCAACACCAAATCTTAGTCAACTTTTTGCCATATTTACTGCTGCTTTGCATTATTACTGTTCTGGTTTTGCTCTGTTTTTTTCTGTTGTTTTTCTTGTAATTGCTTGTTGCAAACTTTGTTCATTGGGCAGTTTTGCCACATATTTAACCATGGCCACTTACTCTACAGGATCGAACTCACTACTCAGTGATCATGGTCATCTCAACGTGGTGTAATGGTTAGCAATCTTGACTCGCTAGAATAATTACGACAATTAGTGAGTTCTATCCTAACTGGGTACCCCATACATTAGGCATTGTGCCACATCTAAGCTACACTTAGAAAATACCCATATAGGATCATGTGCCAAAATTGTTCTCTGATACAATAAATATACAGACGTAATTGTTCTAGAGAGACGAGCTTGTTAATCATTACACCACGTCGTGATGCCCAAAGTTCACGGGATATATGGTTAGCAATTCATCCGGTATTAAAAATACTGAGCTGGCTCAATGTCAGCTGATATAGGGTATCGATGGAAGATCGGATTCATTAGACTACAACCAATAGCCTGCGAGAGTCGTTTACAAACCGCGACTCCACGGCTAGATGCTAAAGGAAGTCGTATAGATATAGCCATATTGTATCTTTAAGAATTAAAAAGAAAAGAAAGAAAACCCATGTTTATTTTGATTTTCCTTTGTTTTTCAGTATGATAAAGGAATAACATATGTCTTGCACCTTTTCGTCAGTATGTTGACTAAAACTGAATCGAAATTTGTAAGTATTTCTTTTCCTCTTCTTCATCTTTTGCTTGATTTGCTTCTCAACCCTTTAAAGCCTCACCGTTCCATGGTGAGACGGAAAAGAAACTAGTAATATTTGTGTAATGGATATCGACTCGGAATGTGGAAGTGGAGTACCGAGTTCGAATTCCAGTCGAATTCGTTACATTCATTTTACGCGCAAATGCCGTTGGGAAAAGTATGAATCTATCTCTTTTCCCCTCCAGCTACGGGTTGAATAGCAGGACAGATTGAGTTCTATAGCCTTGGTTGGCGACCAGTCTACAGCAGAAAGAAATGGCAATCTACTACAGGAAAATCTGCCGAGTCATTCAGGGATCGAAAATAGACATGATGGTCCGAGCGTGTATCACGTATAGTGATTTTCCAAGCGTAGCTTAGATGTGGCACAAGGCCGAAATATGGTGCACCCAGTGAGGGTCGAACTCACCTCTCAGTCGTAATTGTTCTAGACAGACAAGCTTGCTAAGCATTACACCGCCTCGAGGTGCCCATCCTGTATCACTTCTGACTGACTAAATATTCAACATTTTTCGCAATTAAAATAGCTAGTGTTTAAAGTAGCAACACCGAAGTACAAAGGCGCATCGGGATAGCGAAAGATGCCTTCCGAAAGCTAAGCAGAGTATTAGGAAAGAGAAACATATCATTAGAAACAAAGAAAAGAGCACTGAACTGTTTCGTTATATGGTACGGCATCAGTCAGTCTAGAGAAACCATGGATCTGTGATCCAAAAAATTGTCCTCTCCAGGGCGCAGGCCTGGGTAAGGTTTTTTTTTTTTTATGAGAGATCGGCAGTTGCCCATGCTGTAAGTCTCCCATTTCCACTCCACCAATGATAAGGGAAAAGCAGAGGCCAATACAGGCGTCGTCGCAGGAGTTGCCAGAGCGAAATTGAACATGACATCGGGCTGTATTATGAATTCTGGTTCTGGATTTGAATTCAGAGTTGTCCTTCTCCTAGTCTGGTTGCCAATCGTGGCTATAGAGCTCAGACTGCCTTACTATTTACCCATAGTTAGAGGTTTTGAATTCAGAATTTTTTCTTGTTCTAAACCGGTTGCCACCCAAGGCTATAGAATCCAGTCTGTCCTGCTACTTACCAATAATATAATACAATAATATCGATCCTCGTACATGGCAG